ATACTGCCAGAGCTCACCCTCCAAAGCAACCGTTTTCTCCATTGGGACAGATCTCTGTAGTGTGGCGATCAATTATGATTCAGGGAGATGTCCAGGCCTTTCCTTTCCCCCCAATTCTTGTTTAGCACTTCAACTGACTCCCTGCTAGTGCCCCACAGCCTCTTGGGACTCCCAACCTGGGAGCTGTAGTTCTAATTCCCTTTGCTATGGCTGCAGTAAGGCTAGCTGAGAACTAAAACTCCCAAGGTGCAATGCGTCAAAAGTGGGGGTATAAGAATGGAGCAGCCGGTGGGACAGGCCAATAGGCGCCAAGGCAGCTTCCCCAGTGGCCAATGGGAGAGTAGGTGAGTCATTGCCAGCATGGCTTGGCTTTTATATTTATTAATAGGAATAAGGCCTGTTGTGGAAATAAATACAATGAGCTCTAGAAAGAGGCTCTGGGCAGGTGCCCTGGCCTTGGGCACTCAGTGTCAATTTGCTGTGGTGACCTCAGCAGGGTATAATGACAGAGTCCACAGTTGTCTCCAGGGGAACTGATATCTGCCATCTAGAGAGCAGTTTTAATCCTGAGTGATGTCCAGTCCTCACCTGGTGATTGGCAACAACAGTTCCCAAGGAGGAAAAGTACAGTCTTTCTCCGCAGTGGGGACCAAAGCAGCTCACGTCATTTCTCTCTCCCCCTTTTGATCTGCACAACAACGCTGTGAGGTAGATTAGCTGAAAGTCTGTGACTCGTCTGAAATCACCCACTCAGCTTCCACAGCAAGAACCTGGGTCTGGCAGACCCTGCTCTGAAGCACTAACTGCTATGCCACACTGGCTGTTCCAGGGGGGCTGCTGCTGGTGAACACGAGCAAGCAGCCAGGCGTCATAAAGTCATGCCAGTCAGGTGTCATCAAGTCACCTAGAGGGCACTGCCAGGCCTAGGGTAGCCAACCATAGGCATAGACTATGGGGGAGCCTCGGGGCCAAGCCCCACAATTTTCCAGGGGGCACTGAGGTTGCTTCACTGCTGCCCCTCGCTGGGCCCTCTCTGAAATGAGCAGGAACCTCAGTGTCTTATCCCTGACCTCCATTGCCCACCCACTTTTTATCTATCTTTGAGACCTCTTTGCCCCACCCCTTCCATTTTTCTTGCCTCCCCACCCCCTCATTTCCCTGCTACTCCATCCTTCCCATCCTTGCTTGCCTCTCCTGTTGATGCTTTCCTCAGTGAGCCGGCTGTTTCTGTCCAGGCCCCGGGCAGCCTACTTCTTGCCGCGCTACTCATTACCTGCTTCTGGCTTGCTGGCTCTACCCCGTCCTCAGAGGTGCCCAGCTGATACTGGACCCTGCCAGTAGCCTGCCTCCATGTCTGCCCAGAGCTGCCGTGGCTGCGACTGCATGTCAGGCCCAGCATACCGCCATCCTCAGGTCCTACCCTTCCCTGGTCTCTGGGTAAGTGAGTTCTGGGGGGGCATGGGGTTGCCTCCTCAAAACCCAGACTCTCCAGCTGTTCTCAGAAGGCTGGCGATGTCAGGAACAGACAAGAAAAGAAGCCACTGCTTCTTTGGAAGATGAAGGGAGCAACAATGCACTTGAGAAGGTAACTTTTGAGAGTGCGCAGGTGGCTCCTGTTCCTGAAGAGGCATGCCGGTTGGCGGGAGAGTGCGCATGCAAGTGAGGGCCGGCTTGCAAGATCCAGTACTTCTGCCTTGAGGGGTGGCTGCATTGAATTGATGGGGTATGCTTGTTTTCTGTCAGGTTAGCTCTCTTTTAACTCAATGTAGAAAGTTAAGTTTGCTGTTCAATAACTTTGCCAAGATCCGGTTGCTGTATGCCAGAGGCTGCAAGCGATGGGTTTTGTATAGGTATTGAGAATAGCTAGAAAGTTCCAGTTTGGCTTTGCACTGAGAATTGTGTGTGTGTGAGATATATATATATATACACTTAATAGGGGTAAACCTACCGTACCCCTTAGATAGCGATTGATATGAAACAATTTAACCAGAAACAAAGCATTAGTATCACCAAACTTAGTGTGATATTCAAATTTAGTACATCTAGCAAATGGTGACCATATAAACAGCGATTACAGGAAGAAACCTCAAAACAAGGCCAATGAGGTAT